GTACCACACTGTATCCTGCATCAACAAAACTCAAACGCACCGCCCATGAACGAATAACGAATAAACTATCAACCCGAAATAATAAATGCCATACGTTGCAAGGGAGCCAAGCCTCCGACCGCTTTAAAAAACACAGGCTCCTCGAGACCGATCCAACCAGCGACATACGTATTTGCAATTTCAGTTGCAGAAATTATAGCGTCAGAGAGTCAGAAGAGGCTTGCCTCCAGTTGGTCACCGTTAGTGTATGAATGCGTTTGTTTTCTATTTAATTATTCGGAAGGGATACCGTGACGGACCGGGACTAAAAAATATCTCGGTAAATCGTGTTTCTTGATAATATTTGTTATTTATGTATAAAACAGGCAGTATTATATTATAGCATTGCTTTTTGGTAATATTTTTAATGTGTTTTTAAAGTGTTTTCCTTCAATTTCGAGGTATTTTCAGGTTTTCACTTTTCGGTAATTTTTTTTTTTCATTTATTATGGATAAGTTGGACGAAATTAAAAAATCTGACGATATAGTCGATTGGTTGCTGTCAAATAATTTTAAGTCTTCATCTTATGATAATAAATTTCACATTATTAAAACTCTGGGAAGGCCTCAACCAAATTTGATTTCAATTAAATCGTCAGATAATCGACAAAATCGTGGATTCAATATTAGTTGGTACGATAAATGCGATTGGTTAACCGGCTCCATTAAACGAGAAAAACTTTTTTGTTGGCTCTGTGTTTTATTTTCCGTACAAACCGAATACCAAACACGGTCTAAAATAGGATACTCCGATTTAAAAAAATTACCTCGTGTTATGGGGCAAATATGATTCACAATTTTGCACTGTTTTAAACGGTAGCGTTTTTTCGGACACCTCAAAAATCATCTTATTATAGACAGTGTGGCATACATTATTAAGGAAAATATAAGCTAGGAGATGTAAAGTGTTTCTTTTTTTGCATGGGAAATTGATGAAACTACCGATATTACCTGTACATCACAACTTTCAATCGTTTTTAGATATGTCAATGTAGTTAATGTAGTTAGTAGAACGTTTTTTGGGTTTTCATGATGTTTCATCTGGGCGCACAGCTGACGATTTGTTCAATTTTTTAATTCGTACGTATGACACCTATAATTTTAGGCAAAAGTCAATTGCGCAAACCTATGATGGGGCTGCGGTCATGGCCGGCCATTTAAATGGTTTACAAACTAACGTATTCTAAAAACACTTACAAAAACGCAACACGTGTTTCGCCATACAATGGCTTCCTCGGGCGTGTCTTAATAACTAATTCTACACATTAAATGCTATATATATCTTATTCTACAATTTGAGGTACCCGAATTTCAAGTACCTGAATTTCAAGTACCTGAATTTCAAGTACCTGTATTTCAAGTACCTGTTTTTTTACCTAAGTTTGTACTGAATTTAATTACCTGAGCTTATGTTCCATTTTCCACATTTGAAAAAATATTCAGTAACGGAGAGTTATTTAATTCTAATTGATTTTTCAGTAAATTACCCGAATTCCTGAATCTATTGATTTCTAAACATTCTAGAAGATTGAGTTTCAAACTCTTCTCTTCTAAATGTAACATATCGTATTCCTGATTGAACTCATGTCCTTCTGCTAATAGGTGGTTTGCAAATGTGGAATTGGTCTTTTTTGACTGAAAGTCAAAATATAACATAATCTCAAATGTTTTCAAAAATTAACGATTTTTTATTATAAAAGATGAGAAAAGTTGTCGTTTCGATTTACATTTTGTTTTACAG